TAGGGAAATTACATTTTTGGATTACCCCTTCCAGGACTGTTCCAAACCCATACACCAGGTTTGAGTTAATGCCAGAAGTACTATCAAGATGGAAATGGAACTTTTTTGAGAGATGAAAATGCCATAAATTTCTGGTAACAGGAGACAAAGATTCCAAATTCTTCATGGTCATTGTATTTACGACTATTTCACAGTATTCATAGCTGTTGTTAAGAAAGTTGGGATTGCCAGTTTTTTAATAAAAAATCTATCAAAAGATTCAAGTGGCAAAAAGTGACTTTTTATTTGTTCCTGTGAACCAAGAATGAGAAGTCTGTGACCCTCCAGACATTATGGACTGCAACCTCCATCAGCTCTAGCCAGCACAGAGTATGATGAGACTTACAACCTGTCAACAACATCCAAATGGACAGAGTTTCCAAGTCTCTACAATAAACTTCAGATTTGCTGCCATTAGACAGAACACACTACAATGTCACTCCAACATGCATAAAAATTTCTCACTGCAGTGCTGGTACCTCACACGGATCTCAGCAGTAACATAGGAGAATCTAGGAATGAAACGCTTGGAAACACTACATCTGTTTCTACATCTAGCAAGCAGCAATCTTTGATATAGTTATTTGAGCTTTACATACAACAACAGTGTGTTGTCTAGTTAATTCTGACTTTTTGGCATTTTCTAGGTAGCATTCAGAAGCGGCTTATCATTTGCTTCTTGGGATTTTACAGCTTGGCCAAGGCTATACAGCCTGGCTTTTCTCTTAGGAGGCACAGTGAGGAATTGAACTCCCAACCTCAGACTCCATAACTGTATAGAGTGTACATTAAATATGTTCACTGGCTTCTCACAACATAATTCAGATCAGGGTAAGGAAAACTGCTGGCTGAGAATTTGGGAAGTTATAGTAACAAAAGCGCCACCACGTCCCTTGATGTTTCTACATCTAGCAAGCAGCAATCTTTGATATAGTTATTTGAGCTTTACATACAACAACAACAGTGTGTTGTCTAGTTAATTCTGACTTTTTGGTATTTTCTAGGTAGCATTCAGAAGTGGCTTATCATGTGCTTCTTGGGATTTTACAGCTTGCCCAAGGCTATACAGCCTGGCTTTTCTCTTAGGCACAGTGAGGAATTGAACTCCCAACCTCAGAATCCATAACTGTATAGAGTGTAAATTAAATATGTTCACTGGCTTCTCCCAACATAATTCAGATCAGGGTAAGGAAAACTGCTGGCTGAGGATTTGGGAAGTTATAGTAACAAAAAGAAAAAGAAACTTAGGAACTATAGGAATAAAAAAGGAGGTACAATGTTACAAAATATATATGTAACTGGTAGAATTATCTGCCAGAGGACCTGGGTGTAGGCGATCAGTGGGTTAAATGTCTATGTAAAGGGAAAACTCCATGGAGAATCCATCTATCAATCACTAGTAGCCACAATACTTAAATGGAACCTCCATGTTCAGAGAAAGTGCACTGAGTACTTGTACTTGTTTACTGAGAAGCAAACTCCACTATGTTTAGTGAGTCTTGCTTCTTAGTAACTAAATTTCAGATTGCAGTTTTGACCAGTACTGATGTTAAGGGAAGGATCACAATTTATGAAAGGTCTTTAATATAGGAATGAATGTGCTTTATGTGGCCAGCTCATTATTAGTGTGACAACCCCGACATCCCGTTGTTAGGCAAATGATAAGAAGCTGCAGCCAGTCATGTCTTCTGATTACACATTAATCCAATCTACTTTCAAGCAAAATCATTCCATGATTGATTAAATAAAGGCATATCAGTATACTAAAGCCCACACAGAAGTTTCTACCACAACATTTTTAATTCCTGCAATTTTTCCAAGAATTAAAAATCCCTAAAAGATGGCAAACCAGCAGAGTGCTCAAAGCAGCCATGTTATCTTTTTCAAAGAATGGAAAGACACCTTGGACACTTCTAGTTCTAGGGCAGCAGAATAAGGAAGGAAGGTATTCTCTGGAATCGTGCACACATACTGTCCCTGCTCCCTTATCATATGCTGCACTCATCCAAAGGGTCCACTGACCCTTGGGAGCAGATACACGTGCCTGCAAAGATCATAAAATCATAATTGATTTAGATGAAATTCCTCATATCCAGCCTACATCTGGCTCCCTGTAACTTGAGCCCATTTTCAATGTCCTTTCAGGTATTTAAAAAGTGCTATCATATCCCCCTCAGTCTTCTTTTCTTAAGGCTAAACATGCACAGTTCTTTCAGTCTTTCCTTACATGGCTTGGTTTCCCTCCTCTGAACTTATTCCAGTTTATCAGCATCCTTCTTAAAGTGCAGTGCCCAGAGCTGGACACAGTCCTCTAGATGAGGCCTAACCAGTGCTGAACAGATTAGAGGGCAAACATGAAATAGCCAAAAATTCTTCATTATTCCACTGATAGAAGTTTCCAGTGAATTAAAGAAACTTTCCTCAAAACAGGGACACAATGGAAGGGAGAAGAGATTGAGGGATTTCTGTACATTTTTATCTCCATATGTCTGCTTATCAGAATTAACTCCTTTTAGTTTAATGGGACACTTTTTCAGAGAAATATTGTGAAAGAAGACTACAAAATCTATGGCTACTGGATATTGATGAACAATTAATTCCATCATTGCTCAGGAGCCAATGGAAAGTAGAATCCAATAATATCTAAAGGAACATAGGTTCCCCTACATTGGCATCCTCCAATGAGTGCTGCCTCACTTAACGACAATAATCCGTTCCAGGAAAATCGCCATTAAGCGAAAACATCATAATGCAAAAAAAAACTAATTGAAACGCATTTAAACCCTTTCAATGCATTCCAATGGGGTCAAAACTCACCATCCAGCGAAGATCCTCCATAGGGCAGCCATTTTCGCTGCCTGTCTTGCAAGGAATCTGTCCCAGAAAACAGCGGGGAGCCATTTTGTTTACCTGGCGGCCATTTTGAAACCACCAATCAGCTGTTTAAAAAACGTCATTTTTGAGAAGAATTGGTTCCCAAAGCAGGGAACCAATCATCGCAAAGCGGAAATAAAAAACATCTAGACCATCGTTTTGCGATCGCAATTGCGACTGCAAAATGATCGTTGTAATGCATTTTCGTCATAATGCAGTTTTGTCATAATGCGGGGCAATTGTAAAGCGAGGCACAACTGTATTATTTTTAACATTTGCTAACAAATTTGTCCAAACTGGTAATCTCTTAATACAAAGATGTTAAGATCCGATTAAGTGTCACCCTGAAGATCTGTCCCAGAAAACAACTCAGGATACAAACCCAGGGGGCTTTCCAGACTGGAGAGACCAAGGGTTGAATATGGGGCCTTTTGCATGCAAAGCATATGCTCTACCATGAGAGCTGAGGCCTTTGGAAACCTGAGATATTCTTGTCAACTACCCATAGTCTTTAACCACTTTATAATGAGAATTTGGCTGAAGCTTTGCTTCAGCACTGTTTAGCCTTCTTCTTTTTTTTAATCGACAACCGGCCTTTAGCCACTAACTATTTGAATTTGGAAAATGGTCAGAGCAAGTCAGGTGGTTGCCTCTGTTCAAACCAAAGTCCTTACATAAAGGTGACCTTTGTGTCAATTTCAACACTTTGAAGTGGAATAGACTGGAAAAGTCTATTTTAAAAAGAGACATTTGTTCTAACAAGAGAATGCAAAGTATTATGCTGTGTGATACACAACTACCATAAATAAAACAACTATGTATCATGTTAGTTTCCTTTTTCAGGACTACGTAGATAGCTGCTATAAATGTGCATGATTTGACTTAATACTGTACCTCAAAAAGCCTGTTTCTGAGCCACGTATTCCAAAACAAACCAAAGAAACTGGAAGTAGACAGCAAGGGTTGGAAACCAGATACTGCTGGCCTCCAGCTCCCACTGTCTCTTACTACTGATCATGCTGGCTAGGGGGTAATATGAGCTGGTGTACAACAGCATCTGGAAGGCCAGAGGCTCCCCATCCATTTTATAAAAGTTCTAAAACTGCAGTGCTAGGTCCATCTTCACCTGAAAGTAAATCACCCCAAACTGATGGCCATTCTGGAAAGAGCCAATGTGTACCTTGACAATGCAGCTAGATCTCATTTGTACTGTGAGGCCCAAACAAACCAGCAACAGAAAGTACAGTGTCTTTAAATGTGTTTAGAAGCACCTTCTTTCAGCGCAACAAGAACGGAACCTGGAAAAGGTCCTTTTCTGGGCTTACAAACTCCAGAATCAAGCAACCATCATGGCCAGTAACTATGCTGGCTGAAGCATTGTGGGAGCTGTAGTCCAAATAAAACCATACAGGTCAGAGCCACGGGTGCTTCTTTTAATGACTGCATAGAACCTCCTTGTTCAGAAGCACGTTATCCCACGTGCTCCAGGTGTTGGAGGAGGAGGAGGAGAAGCACAAGGGACAGGGAAGCCTTTGCTTTCATGGTCTGCTGCCGGGTTTCTCGGAAGCATCTGGCAGGCCACTGTGGGAAATAAGAGCCTGGCCTAGATGGGTCTTTGATGTGATTCACTGGGGCTGCTCTGATCGTGGTTATGAAGGGGTCTACACAGGCACCAGCCTCTCCGTTTAACAATGAGGGAACTGTTACAAAAAAACATTGCACTGCCTTGAACAGGGGAAGAGCACTGCATGCGAGAAAAGACGCCTCACTGTCCTTCAACTTCTTTTTCCTAGCACTAAAAGCAGCACGGCTTGTTCCCCTTCCCCCTTTGGGGATGCTGCGGGAGAAGGCCCCCCCCCCAAAAAAAACCAGAAGCAACACGGCGAAACAAGCTCCCCCAAGGACAGGCCCGAGGTCAGAAGGAGCTTGCAGCCATTCAGACGGGGGGGGGCGCCCCCTCTTCCACTCTCGCGGCCAAAGCCGGCGAAGGGCCCGGGGAATCAGCCCAGCCCGCGCCAGGAGCGCGCCTCAGCTGGCCAGCCTACGCGCTCCACTTCTTTGCGGGCGCCCCGGGTTCTGGGACTTACCTTGGCAGCCATGCTTTACCTTGCGCAGCCGAGCGCCCACCCCCCACCCCGAGTCCGCCGCCTCCTCCGCCTCCGCCTCCTCCTCCCTTTCCTTGGAGAGGCGAACCCAAGCGGCGGCCTCCTCGCCGGCGCGCCAACCAGTCGCGAGCAAAAGCCGCCGGCGCCCGCTCATTGTGTTTGTGTTTAGTCGTTTAGTCGTGTCCGACTCTTCGTGACCCCATCGCTCATTGGCTGACACCAAACCCCCTCTTCCCGGGAGGCGGCGGGTGCGCCCGGGTGTCTCCTCCGGCCGGGCCTCGCGGGTGGCGCGAGCGCGGGGGTTTGGCCCCCCAGCAACCCATGGCGACCTCGCGCTATCTTTAGCAATATCTCGGGGGTCGGAGCGTCTATGGGCGGGAGGGGGGCGATTTGTCACTTCTAACAACACCCCCGCGAGCCTGAAATGTCTGCGTTTTGTTCATTGGGGGGGCGAGGGGGAGTAGAGCAGGGTTGCTCTTTTCTGACACGAAGTTCTGTAACTGCCCTTTGTCTGCATGTCTGCTACTCAGAAGTAAATACCTATTGGGGGAGGCGAGGGGGAGTAGAGCAGGGTTGTTCTGTAACTGCCCTTTGTATGCATGTCTGCTACTCAGAAGTAAATACCTTTCAATGCAGCACGGTTTACTCCCGGGTAAATGGGATCGCAGCCTTTATAAGTGGGCGCTAACAAACCTACTGCCGAGCTGTGCCATGTGGATTACCTACTTATTTATATTTGCTCTCGGCTCAGCTCGGCTTTGTTTTTCCATGTGCAAAAAAAAAAAAATCCCAGTGAATTCCAAGGGAAGTCCCGGTTAAGCCCCGGAAACGGTTCTCGATGCCAACAACAGCTCCAGGCAAGGTTGTGTAATCATCATCACGAAAACAGCTTTAATAATGCACTTCTAAATAGACACCTGCATCGGTTTTCTTACTGGATCGCGCCACCAGGATCGCAGAGCAGGCGGTGGCCGGAGGTTCCCTTCCCGCCTTCGCCGCGACCTTGTGAGGGAGGTCAAGCGGCGAGAGGCTGCCCGTGAGGTCAAAGAACGAAAGTGGCGGAGTTAATCCGAGACAGTCGAAGTCCACAGACAGAGCATGCTTTTATCAGAACGAACGACAGTTTCATGAGAGTGGGCTGGGCACGTGTTCGGGTCCCCCAGAATTCTTCATCAGGCAAGGTAGTCAAAGCTGGGAAGGAAGTATGGTAGTCCTAAAACTTTTCCAGAAGCTGCAGACTCTGACATTTGCGATTTCAGCTCAGTCATAAAATGGAAAGTGCACAGGTAAAATCACACAGAGCAATGCCTGTATGAATTACAATAATATTTCAGGCAAAATTTGAAGGTGGGGCTCTCCAGGTGTAATCCTCGTATTTGCTGCATCATGCTGGTAAACAATATGGCCAAATTCTGCCACGGATAAGTGTCTGGAATTAAGGTGACAGATACTTCCTTGCAAGCTTCAGACAACACAGGGTTACAAATTAAGCATTCCTTTTAGGTACGGTTTGTTTGTTTGTTTGTTTGTTTTATATCCAGCCTATCTGGTCTTGTGACCACTCAGAGATAAGCTCCATTGAGCTTAAAAGGACACAATCACAGAAATATGACAGAGGCCAAAGAATCTCAGCTGAAAATAGCAGAGGACAAGCCTGTATATACATCAAGGCTGGGCAACCTCAGTACCTCTTAGAGCCGGGAGCTCTCCACAGGGCACCTATAGGGATGCACAGAAATTGCCCTCACCTAAATCTGGTGGTCCAGCTGCAACCAGAAGTCCCTCCAATCTCTGGTTGTTAAAAACAGTTTTAGTAAATGAATGGATACCACCACCAAAAAATTAGAAAATTGAGACTTAGAAGTTGTAAAGGCACAAAAAAAAAATTCTTAAGGATGTATCACTGGAGGGAACAAGGCCAAGATCATCCATACTATAGTATTTCCAATTGCTATGCATACATGTGAATACTCATAGCATTAAAATTGATTCATTAAAATGTGTTGGGAGGTGAGCTTTATGAAGGAAAGTTTTCCAGATATCAGGGGCTGCGAGAAGAATAAGTGGGCATTTAGATCATTGTGGTATAATGGACAGTCCAACTCAGACGTCGAAGACCAAGGTTAAAACCCATGCTTAGACATGGAAACACACTGATGAATGGCACTTGTAAAATCACTAATTAAATCTTTCACATACCGTGAAAGTACTTTCACATACCTTGAAAGTACCTGTTAGAACCTATTGGTTGGCATGTAATACAGAGATCAAATGCAGTCCCGAGTTCTTTAAAGAAGCAAAAATGATTAAACTGAGTTTTTTCTTCTTCAGATACATATGAGAAGATAAGGCTCTATGCAAAAGACAATAATGCTGGCAAATGTGGAAGGCAGAAGGCAAAGACAGAGACTGAACATGAGAGGGATTGGCCCAGTAGTGTTTGGAGATCATTCATTTATACAATCAGTGTAACTTGGAAACAATTTAATAAGCATTAGTAACAACAAAAATAGGGAATATCCATATAAAGTGTGTGATTTGCTTCAGAGAACTGCACTTTCTGGTAGCTTCCAGAAGTGTGATTTTCCTTAGAAACGAGGTGGTCAATATCCTGTTGCTTTATGTGATCATATAACAATTTCCGTGGGAACTGAAAGGTGCCCTTTGGCACACTCTGGTTTCACGCTACTTTTGAGATTGGTTGTGCAACAGAAGGCTTGCTAGAGCAAGGAAACATTCATACAATCACCCTTACACTCTGGATAGTATATTGGTTGGTGTATATTTGGCAGGTGCCTTATATTAGCACCAGCAGAGTAACTTTTTACTGAGCCAGTAAAAGGATTACTCAGAATGGGTTTCAATGGCTAGACCACATGGTTTTGCATAAATACAAGATGTCAGTGCTGGCCAATGGACCTAGACATGATAGTGCAAAATTGGAAAGGAGGCAACCTGAATGAACAACAGGCTGAGGAAAGTTGCAATATTTGTTGCAGTTCAGATTTTAAAAACGGTGTGGAAGGGAGAGATGATAGAAATTGATAAAGTTATGCATTATTTGGAAAAAGTGAACAGAGAGATAACTTTCTCCATGCCATGCGTAAGGTAACTTTTCCCTCTCTAATAATGCTGGAAATCAGGATCATCCACTAAAGTTGAACATCATGATGGATCGAATGAAGTGTTTCATAACTTCGTTATTAAATTCTGGAATTGGTACCACGAAATGTAGTGAAAGTCACTAACTCGTCTGGCTTTAAAAGCGAAAGACAAAGCAATGGAGGATGGGATCATCCACTAAAGTTGAACATGATGATGTATCGAATGAAGTGTTTCATAACTTCGTTACTGAATTCTGGAATTTGCTACCACAAAATGTAGTGAAAGTCACTAACTCATCTGGCTTTAAAAGCGAAAGACAAAGCAATGGAGGATAAGATTTTCAATGCTGATGGAGCATAATGACAACCCATACCAGAAGCAATATACTGGGAATGCAAGGCCTTTATACCCCACCCTTTAGTCCAGAGGTGAGCAAAAGTGTAGCCTTCCATATATTCTTGACTACAACATCCATCAACCCTGTAATCAGAATTGCAATCTGAATTTTAGGGAACAAAGAATGTGTGTGTGTGTGTGTGTGTGTGTGTAGGTAAATATAATTGAAGAATTGGACTATGATTTAGAAGACCTGCATTCAAGCACTTGCTGGGTGAGCTTGTGCTTATAACACCTCCCTCACAGAGTAGTTACATGGATAAAATAGAGCCTCGTGGCGCAGTGGTTAAAACGCTGTACTGCAGCTAAAACTGTGCTCACGACCTGGGGTTCAAATCCCAGGTAGCTGGCTCAAGGTTGACTCAGCCTTCCATCCTTCCGAGGTCGGTAAAATGAGTACCCAGCTTGCAATGTGTAGCCTGTATAATTAAAAAAATTGTAAACCGCCCAGAGAGTGCTTGTAGCACTATGGGGCGGTATATAAGTCCAATAAATAAATAAATAATAAAAGTGGGAAGAAAGCCACACACACCACCTGAAGCTCATTGGAGGGAAGGTGGGGGAGCAGGGGATACATGTCATAAATATTTTACTGTCCTTATCATGACCACTCAGACTGAACTGCTTAAATAGCCCTCTAGAATGGCTGCTGCTAGGTGACAACTGAAGGAGAGCCAGAGGCAGCTGTAGTGTCTCAACAGAAATGATAGAATAGACCAGCTTTTCCTCCTCTCAGCAGCTCTGAATTTATACAGCTTGAAAAAGGCACTTCTTGGGACTTCATCCACCATATTTCCTTCACCTCTGTGCCCACTGGCTAAGCAAGCTGAGGAATTCTAATAGTTGCAGTTTAAATAAAAACTTTTTAAAAAAATCAGAAATTTGTCCGAATAAAACTGTTGCATTGCATAATACAGCACTCCTTCATCATATAGCAAGTCTCATATATCATGAGTACAAAATTTTTGGCCCCTTGGAGCTAAGGAATTTGCACAGAGAGAAGGAATAGGTCAAAGTCCCTCTTTACTACCACTACTCTAGGAAAAAGTTTCAGCATCATCTTGCCCCTGGATCTTGTCAGCTCATCCCTACCCTACATTTCTGGAACTTAGGCAGAATCTATTGTTCTGAAACACATGCACAGTCAATCTGTCAAATTAATTTGATAATAATCTTTATCAGGATGAATGACTTCAAGTCAAGCGGGGGAGGGGACCACGTTTTCAATCATCATCCCCAAGGTGAAGGCAAAAAGAAGAGGGAGAAAGAGAGCAAAAATGGATATATTTAACAGTCCTACATTTTGCAAACTTTCCTGCAAATATTCAAAATGTGCCAGATCCTCAGTTAACCTAAAACGACATGGTTCTACAGGAGACCATTCTAAGCTTCTGCAGTTGAAACTTTTCTTGTAGTAGTCAAAGGAGCTCTAAATAAAAAGCAAGTAATTTTTTCCCTTGCAATGAAAGATAATCATCCTTCACATGTGGCAGATTTGTTTACTCTGTAAAGATTTGCTACAGTTGATTAATTATCAGTATC